GATGTGTGAAGCAAGGCAAGAAGCACTGGAGATGGATTCAAACTGTTAGTCTTTACTATTTCAGTTCGCTTATATGTTATTTAATATTTAAATTAAATTGGTAGTGTTTGTCAAAAGAAAGAATATTGATTCTTCTGTTTATAATTATACCATTTTTTTAAAATAACAATGACTATAAAAGTGAAATCTGAACTGGAGTGCTATTTAATCATGACGACATGTACTTTGTGCAGTCATGGTAGTAACTTCAGTGCACCCCATGAAAATTAATAGTTTAATCATAAAAATAATGTGTAAAACACACACATTTTAATGTAATGAAGGCATGTCAGTAAGTACACGTATAAACAGAAGAAAGAATGAAAAGCACTTATTCATACTTGTTCACAAACAATATTATATTCACAGACACATCCTTTCCCACACTACTTGTTCTCAAGCACACACTGTCTCACGTGTATAGACAGCTAACGTCGAGCCACCTAATACTTACAGACACTTTCATTTAGAATGAATGTCATCACTAATCCGATCTTAAGCTTCATCAAATGACTTTCTCCCCTTTCTATCTATCCATCTGTCTGTCCATCCATAGTCTCACTTCTGTTATCCTTATTCCTTCACATAATCACCGTACATACATTTCTCTTTCTTGAATTTCCATCTTCTTCACTTCCTTTTTTTATTGATCTCTTCCTCGCTCTACCCTTCCTTGTAAGCCATTGTCACCCACTAATTGCCTTTTTGTCTTTCCAATGTCATATCCTCTTCTCCCCTTGTTTTCTTCCCCATTATTTCCTACTCTTCACCTCTATTTCCTCCAACTTCATCCTCTCTTTTTGCTGCACCATTTTGTTGCACTGATGTTTCTATTGTTTAGAGGAGAACCGATTTCCATTTCCTCTCTTAAACATGCATGCACCCAACTCTTGTCGCCGCCACATTCAAGTGCCATACCCAAGTTTGTTTTAGATGTAGCTTTCTGTTACTGTGGCAAGTAGGTTGTTAGAATTAGATTTGGGCTCTGTTGCCAACCGTGACTGAGTCCTGCTCCTGTAAGGCTATAACTGAGCCCTGGCAGCTTTTGTTGGAAGCCAAAGGGAAGATGACAGGTGTGCACCAGGGACCTGTTAAAGGAATACCTTGACATTTAGAGATACTGCGGTATTTTCTTTTGTTCTATACATAAGTAAAGAAGTTCACACACCCGTTTTTTCACTGGCTCTTAAAGTGTCTCCTTTTCATTGTTACTATGTCTCATTAAAACCAATAGGCATGACAGGCTAATGAGATAGCTCTACACAGCTCTGTTAAAGAGGTTGCCCATTTTATTTAACAGAAAATCATCTATTTCTTTTTGCCCATCTATTTCTACAGAGACAGAACTATGATATTAGTAACTTCTATTTTGTATTAAAGTCATTTTATCTACACTTGTTGGAGGCTAAGCGGTTCGAAGCTGTTGCCATTTTTTGTGTGAGACCAGTTACCATGGTTACGGTTGTGTGCCTTTCTTTAATGTTAGTAGAAGAATTATTATACCCTTTTTCACAAACACAATGCCCATGTCAAACTGCCCTACAGTAACAGAACAGACTGACTCTCCGCTTGTAATTTCCAAATTAAATGTCTTAACGGAACCGATCACTCCCCACTCTACAACTTGGTAGGCTCTTGACTGCAGAGTTACTGAAAATACGAATAAAAAGAAAGAACTTCTTTTAAATAAAATGAAATTATTAAGTGATGCTGAAGCCTATTAAGACACGAGGGACCGCATTGGGGCTGGGAATAGCATTTACTGTAATCTGACTATTAAAACATTGATCAGGATTCATTTCTCATTTCAGTAAAATATACATTGTTGAGTGATGCAGAATTGATTCGATTATGACTTTATGAGTGTACTGCAGCAAGTGTAGGTAAAGGTAGTACTATAAACCATTTTAGAGATTTTTTTTATTTTTTTTATTTTGTCTCTTGTGTGTAATGCTGATAGAGATCAGGCCATGTTTTAATTTTATGATTAATTAATTAATGTTGAGATTATGAAATTCCAGTTTTTATTTATTTATAGGAATTTGAGTCTCTTAAGTATCAAAGAAATCAATCATTTCAAAAGTTCTGCAGATTTGTCTTCATGTTAATGCATGTACTGCTTTTATCTAAACAGATACTCAAAGGAAGCATAAGCAGCACACACAGAGCGCTTGTGTGTGTGTGTGTGTGTGTGTGTGTGTGTGTGTGTGTGTGTGTGTGTGTGTGTGTGTGTGTGTGTGTGTGTGTGTGTGTGTGTG